AATCCCTCTATCCCTGGGGTCCCATCCGTGGGGTCTCCCCCTCTCACCCTTGAGGTCCAGGGTGTCCTTGTGCTCCTCAAGGTCCTCGTGCTCATCCTCCTCGCCCTCCTCCTCCTCGTCCCCGTCCTTGTGGTGGCCGGGGCGCTGTCCCCAGGGATGATCGGGCTGGTTGCCATGGAGATGTGTGTGCTTGTGGGGTGGCTCAGCGTGGTGGTTGCCATGGTTGCCATAGTGGTTGCCGTGCAGGTGTTGGTTGCCATGGGGACCCTCCAGGTGGTTGCCAGGGACGTGGCTGTGCTTGCTGTGGTCCCCGGGCTGGTTGCCATGGAGCCCGTGGGAGTTGCTGTGTAGGATGGTGGCATGATTGCCATGGTGGCTGTGGTTGCCATGGTGCCCGTGGAGGTTGCCATGGAGGAGGCCGTGGGGCTTGGCAGGGTCCCCAGCCTTGCTGTGGTCGCCGTGGTGACCGTGCTGGTTGCCGTGGTGGTTGCTATGGTCCCCGTGCTTCTCCTGGTCGTCGTGGTGACCATGCTGGTTGCCGTGGAGACCCTGGTGGTGGTGGCCTTGGAGGAGGCCGTGGTGGTTGCCATGGTCACTGGGCTTGCTGTGGTCCATGGCCTTGCTGTGGTCGCCATGGTGACCATGGTGGTGGCCATGGAGACCATCGTGGTGGTCACCATGTTTCTCGTGGTCACCGCGGTAGCCGTGGTGGTTGCCATGGACACCGTTGTGATGGCTGCCATGCTTCTCATGGTCACCATGGTAACTGTGGGGGATGCCTTGGAGGATGCCACCATGATGGTGGTTGCCATGGTCACCAGCCTTGCTGTGGTCGCCATGGTGACTGTGGTGGTTGCTGTGGAGACTGTCGTGGTGGTCCCCATACTTCTCATGGTTGCCATGGTGACTGTGATGATTGCCATGAAGACCCTCATGGTGGTCCCCGTGCTTCTCATGGGTGCCATGGTGACTATGGTGGTTGCCATGGAGACCCTCGTGGTGGTCCCCATGCTTTTCATGATTGCCGTGGTGACTATGATGATTGCCATGGAGACCCTCGTGGTGGTCCCCATGCTTCTCGTGGGTGCCATGGTGACTATGGTGGTTGCCATGGAAACCATCATGATGCTTTTCGTGATCACCATGGTGACTGTGATGGTCGCCGTGGTGGTTCCCGTGGTCCCCGTGATGATTGCCGTGGTCGCCGTGGTGGTTGCCATGGTGGCTGTGATGGTCTCCGTGGTGGTTGCCGTGGTGACTGTGATGGTTGCCGTGGTGCCCGTGATGGTCGCCGTGGTGGTTGCCGTGATCCCCATGGTGGTTGCCGTGGTGGTTGCCATGGTGACCATGGTACTCCCCGTGGTGGTTGCCGTGGTGATGGGACACGTTGCCATGGTGACGCAGCTGCAGCTCCAGGGCTCCGATCTTCTTCTGCAGAGCCTCACGGAGCCCGGACACGTTGCGGCTCTGAGGGGATGTGAAGAGACAGCTG